TTCATCAACTTGGGCAAGTGGTTCAGCAACTGAAACAATCACAAAGGGAGCAACTTATGCTTCTATATCAATACTTGGAGGTGATAAAGCAAATCCATATCAAGGATTTTCAGCAACTGGTATGTCTGGATATGGTGCTCTGTGGGGGGAGCAGGAGGAGGAGAGGGAACAGGAGGAGATGGGGGGGCGGGGAGCATGAGGAGTTCTCAAAGCTGCTGTAGGTGGTCGACCATATTCAGCCCTCAGTTCCAGCCAAGTGCGTGAGAACTCCTGCAACCCGCATGCTCTGACGGAGAAGCATCGCAGAAAAGCTTGAGGGGCCCGCGGGAGGGTTGGAGGGAGCGAAGCTGTCGGCGCAACTGCAGCAGGTACATGGAAGAGCAGATCCTCCTGCCGTGGGGATGACGGGAAGGAACAGGAGAGCAGGTCGGCATCTGCGGCAGCGGGGCCTGCAGGGCATGCGGGAGTAAGACGTCCCCTTTGGAATTTTGGACAGGAGTTCGAGCTGTAAGCTGAGAGCAGTGCGACTGATCGCTGATAGTCCTGCCTACAGCTACGTCTTCCTCGCCTCCTCCAACGAGACCCTCACGCACCTGACCATGTCCTCTGTCGGGTTGAACGTGCAGGGAAGGGAGCTCTGATCTGGCACGAGAAGGTCTTCCTCCTACCTCCTCCTCCTCCTCCTCCTCCTCCTTCACCACCACCACCAAAACCACTACCTCCTCCTCCTATTCCTCCTCCTCCTATTCCTCCTCTCCCTTCACCATCAACACCAACACCAACACCTTCTCCTCCTCCTCCTCCTCCTCCTCCTCCTCATCATCATCATCATCATCATCATCCTCATCCTCTACCTCCCTTGCTCGGCTTTTCCCTCCCTTGGCAGACCCCATCACTTCCAATTCTCCCAAAAGCATCCTGCTCACTTTTGTTGTCCTTGCTCTTTCATCGTCATCATATCATCATTCCACTATCTCCATCGTTTTTCTATTCCAACTGTCCGTTGTTTCCTTTCTTGACCTTCTTGATCAAATTTTCGCAGAATCTGTTTCTCAATTCTGCTCCATTGAAGGGGAACACCAGATTGTTCAACCGCTCATTGACGAAGAACGATTTACATCTGCCATGGTACTTCAAGCTGACTGCAAACGTCGCTGTATTGCAACCCACTCTTTGTTCTCGGTTTTGCAGCGCTTTTAGATGTTGTTGCGCGCATGTCTTGAATCTGTCGTCATGATAACTCAGTTTTCCCATCCTTTCCTCCTCTGAAGCTCCTGACAGGCATAATCAGTCTGTATTTGCGCACGTCTACTTCGTCAGAAATGGGGTCCCGTCAGCCCTTGCCTTGATCTCGCTTACCTGGACCCGCAGGCGGATCCTCTGGGAGGAGGAGGCAACGCTGATGTCGCGCATGGCGTGTTCAAGTATCAGAAGAAATTTGTTATCGTGATGGAGGGGATAACGAAATTCTTCAGCCTGATCTCGCACGCTCCCCGGCCGAAGGCGAAGAAGACCAAGAACCTGATAACAGGCGACATGTCGGAGAGAGATCAGGTATGGGACTTGTAAGGAGCCGCCGAGTCCTGAGCAGCACCAGGAAATCATGGCGGCCAACGCCAAGCTCAACATCACAGAGGAGCGAGAGGTCGCATGCTCGATAAGGAGCCGATGGTCTGTGATGCTGAGAGCAGAATGAGATTATCCCTATGTGGAAGCCAGAGATCTACATCGACATTGTTGAGGAGGTCTGCTGCTGTTACTCCTTCCCCTCCCTCCTTGCCTGCCTGCCTTGCCTCCTCACTATACGCTCCTGTCCATCCCCCTCCCTCTTGCTTCTCCTCTTCTACTCACATCGGCCATGATTTCCTCTCGTTCTGCTTACCTTCACTCCAGACGTCCGTCTTTCCTGGCAACGGAATTCCACAGCCGATGCTCGACCATATGAAGTTTGACTCGGATGGAAGGTAAGGAGGAACAAGCTCGCGAGAAAGGGAGGAAGTCAATACGAAAGAAGAAGGAAGGAGGAGAGGAGGAGGATTTAGAGGGAGCCGACCAGGAGGAGGAGCAAGAGGAGGTGAAGTGGAGAGCAGGAAGAGGGGGGAGAGCAGGAGGAGATGAGTAAGGGACATCATTATCATCATCATCATCATCATCAGCAGCAGCAGCAGCAGCAGCAGGAGACTGTGGAGGTACTGACAGGGCCGCAGCTACTTTCCCATCATGCATCTCAACGAGTTCTGGTTGACCAAGGGGATGATGATCCACGTGAACGAGACAGTCGATCACCTTCCTCTCGTCCTCCACTTCCGGTCAGTTAACCTCCAAGGAGCCTCCGCTACTCTCCCTCCCTCCCTCTCCTCCCTCCATCCCATCTTCCTGCTCCCTCCCCCCCTGCTCCCTTCCCTCCTGCTCCCTCCCTCCTGCTCCCTCCCTCCTTCTAGCTTCTTGACTTCATTTTTCCTCTTCCTATCCCCCGCAGGTGTCAAGGTCGCTTCACATGGCTCATGGTCATCCAGTGGGGAACTTCAATGCAGCAGCAGGTGATTATCTTCCTGCGGCGAGACGAATGTGACGTCTCCTCCTCCTCCCCTCCCCTCCCTTTCTCTCTTCTTCCTCCTCTCTGCTTTCCTTCCTCTTCTCTTCTATCCTTCCTCCCCTTCCTCCCGCTACTCCTTCCTCATCTCCTCTCCTCTCTCCTCTCTCCTCTCTCCTCTTCCCTTCCCTTCCCTTCCCTTCCCTTCCCTTCCCTTCCCGTGTCTTCCCGCATCACCGTCATTTCTCGTCCTCTGCAGCGAAGCATCGGCACAGCATCGGAGGGCGATCATGACGAGCTCAAGAGGATTCTGCTCGAGAGCAACCCGTGAGGAGCATCCAAGGCAGTCAGCGCTTCTGACGTCCTCTCAGCTACCTCCTCGCCATCACCGGGATAGTGTCCCTCCTCCACACCGTCTTCGATTTCCTCGCGTTCAAGAATGGTAGGAGAGGAGGAGGAGGAGGAGGAGGAGGAGGATGGAGGAGGAGGAGGAGGAGGAGGAGGAGGAGGTTGTAACGGATTCTACAGACATCTCATTCTGGAGGAAGGTGGACTCGATGCAGGGGCTCTCAGTCAGGAGCATCTTCACCAACATGTGAGGAGGGAGGCGATTGGAGCTGCTCCTGACCAGCACAACAGCATCACGCAGACGATCATATTCCTCTACCTGCTCGACAACGACACGTCGTGGCTGGTGAGAGGAGAGGAGGCGAGAGGAAGCAAGAGAGGGCGCAGGGATCAGGATGAGGATGAGGGAGGGTTGGCAGGTAGCAAGACCTGAACCTGACGGTTCTGGTTGCAGATCCTCCTTTCTTCGGGCGTTGGGCTTCTGATCGGTATCCCTCTTGTTTCCTCATCATCATCTTCATCATCATCGTCCTCCTCCTCCTCCTCCTCCTCCTCCTCCTCCTCCTCCTCTAACTTCACTCTCTCCCCCTTTCCGCCCGCTTCTCGTTCTTCTTACCTGCATACAGAAATCTGGAAGGTGAAGAAGGCAATGAATGTACTAGTTCTGCCCCAGGTGATTCCCTTTCGTTCATGAAAGGGACGATGAGAATGAGGAAGATGGCGATGGCCATGACGACGATGATGACCTTGATTGTAGTTTCCTTTCATCAAGCTCAACTACAAAGATTCCTACAAGTCAGAAACGATGAGATATGACCAGGTTCTTCATACTCAAACTACCAACCTCCGTTTTCTCCTCCTATCCTTCCTTTCCTTCTTCCCTTCCTTGCTTCGCTCCTCTCACCATGTTGCAGATCGCTATGAAATATCTCTCTTACGTGCTCTACCCGCTCTCCCTCGGTTTCTCCATCTACAGGTAACTTCTCAAGTTACTTTTCCCTTTCCCGTCACTGACGTCGGAACTTCAAGTTTGATGTACAACCAGCACAAGAGCTGGTGGTCTTGGATCCTTTCATCGGGTACCTCTCCCTCCCTCTTCCTCCCTCTCCCCATCCCTCCCTCCCTCCCTCCCTCCCTCCATCCATCCATCCATCCATCCATCCATCCCTTCTCCACTCCCTTCCTCCTCCTCTCATCGTTTCTTCATTAGCCGTTGGTTGCGTTTATACATTCGGCTTCATCATGATGACGCCGCAGCTCTTCATCAACTATAAGGTGACTTGCTTCCTTCTCCTCCTCCTCCTCCTCCTCTCTCCTCCTCTCTCCTCCTCTCTCCTCCTCTCTCCTCTCCTCCTCTTCACTTCTCTTCCTAAACCTTCGCAGCTCAAGAGCGTCGCGCACTTGCCTTGGAGAGCGATGATTTACAAAGTGAGTGAAGAATCATATTGATCACGATGTTGATTATAACGACGACGTCGGTGACGACTTTGCAGTTTCTCAACACAATCATCGATGATCTTTTCGCCTTTGTGATCAAGTGAAGAACTTTGCCTTCGTGATCAAGTGAAGAGACGCCGGGGCTGATATGTGTCTGTCAGAATGCCAACTCTGCACAGACTTTCTGTCTTCAGAGACGGTGAGGACAACATCATTGTGTCTTGACTTTCCTTCTTGTGAGAGTTTGCTATATCAGACCTTATCTTCTTGATCTACTTGTATCAGCGATGGACATACAGGTAAACCTCCCTCTTCTCCCTCCTCCTCCTCCTCCTCCTCCTCCCTCCCTCTTGTTGACTCCACCACACACCCTCTTCCTAACTTTCCCCTCCTCCTTCATGTTCCAGCCCTCGTTCCCCCCCTTTCTTCCTTCATTCCCTCCCTCAAAATCTCCTCCCTCCTTCCCTCCCTCCCTCAATCCATCCATCCATCCACAAATCCCTCTTTGCTTTTATACCCTCCTCCTCCTCCTCCTCCTCACATTCCCTCCTCCTCCTTCTCCCTTGGCGCTTCCCTTTCGTTTCCTTCCGCCTCCTCCTTCGCCTCTCCCCTTCATTCCTCTGACTTTCCTCTCTAGGGTAGACAAGAAACGACCCAACGGTTCGAGCCCTTGGCTTCCCTTCCTGCCTTTCGCTCGATTGCCTCCCATCGCCTTCCGCCTGCATTGGACCCCCCTTGCTATTTTGCCATCCTATGCTCGTCCTCCCCTAGCTCTACCACCTCCTTCCTCCTTTACCTCTTAGCCTCTAAGCTCCTTGCCTCCTCCTCCACCACCACAACTACCTCCTCCTCCTCCTCCTCCAATCCCCCCCCCTCCTCCTCCTCCTCCTGAATCACTTCGGCAGAATACGGCATGGTTGCCAAGGACGCGGAAGAGAGCACGCAGGTTCAGATTGTGTCTGTTTCCTCCCTTTACTCTCATCACTCATAATGTACAGGATCCAGCTCAACCCCAGCAGGAGAAACAATAAAGCTAGCCCCTCCTCGCATGTTCTCTCGATCTTAACTCACCCCGTTGTTATCGACTCGATCATCATCATCATCATCATCATCATCATCATCATCATCATCATCATCATCATCTCACGTCTTATTACAATCGGCTCCACCATCGTCGTATCCATCTTGATTATTTCATTTATCATCTCCATCATGGTCATCACAACCATCATCACCATCACCATCATCATCCTTCTTCTGCAACTCCAGCTGCTGTCTGCATCTTTCTGAATCTTTCCGTGAGAGGAACGCGGAGGTTGAGCTGCCTCAGTCGTCAGTCGTTGAGCTGCTGACCCCTCAAACCTTCACCGAGTGAGGAGACGGAAAGTGAAGGCGGCGGGTAGAGGAGGGGCCTGACTGCTGCGGAGCTGGTGACATGAAGGAGGAGGAGGAGGATAGAACAACAAGAGGAGAGGAGAGAGGAAAGGGTTCTCAGGGAGACATGAAGACAAACAAGCAGGCATGTCGGCGGGTTGACGAAGATGATGGAGGGAGGGCGAGGGCGAGGGCGAGGGCGAGGGCGAGGGCGAGGACGAAGCATCATTGACCTCGGGGAATTGCGAAGAGTCAGGAGGTGCTGGGAGAGCTTGTCAACAACCGAAGGGAAATCACAGATGAGAAGGACCAGCGAAAGATCTCTTTGGGCTCAACAGGTTGAAGCTGTTGAAAACCAATCTCAGCACCACATGAGGTCGAGAGCAATGCTCGCAACACAGCACATTCAGGGGCAAGGGAGCGTGAGACCGAGGAGTAGGAGGACTCACTCGAGCTTCGGGACGGCAGCTTTCATGTCAGCCTCTTGAACGATGCTCTTGAAGTCAGCGGGGAGAAGGTCCTTGCCCTGCAGGCTGGTGCAGGAGATGGGGAGAGGGTTGTGGTACTTTTCCCGGTTGTCTCTGAAGAACGAGTCCAGCATGCGCGCTTGCAGCTATCATGTGGTCATGTACGACTTTGCGGCATCGGCAGCACCTGGTGGCAGTAGAAGTGACAGCTGGGCTGCTGCTGAGCCTTGATCCAACGGAAAGTCTGAAACATCTTCAAAAGAGGGCGGGAGCGAGATCGGGAGCGGGAGCGGGAGCGGGAGCGGGAGCAGCACGAAGGGCGTATCACCGGTATCTCTGCTTGCAGACCTTGGCGTTGTGATACGTGATGTGCCGATCTTTCTGGTTTCTTCTTGCTCTGCAGGGGTTCAGGCATCACATCGAGCATTTGGATCTCATACCTTGGAGATCAAGATCAGAATCCCTTCCTGTTCAACAACGACTGGAGCGGAGCTAAAAGTAGACATGTACTTTGCGAGCTGAGTGGAGAATCATCGTGCTGACGTCATCTATGAATCTAGCCTTTATCACCTTCTTGAGATGCTTTTCGACTCTCTTCTTGCCTGACACGCACAAATGGCTATCAGAAGCTGCAGACGCAGTAGACTGAGTGGGCAGAGCAGGCAAGAACGAGCGAGAGTGAGTTGAAGGTTGTGTTGCTTACGTCTTGTCGGTAAGGACCAAACCTTCGATTGTTGTACATGTACTTCTTCTTCAAAAATCTGCTTCCTGTGTCGATGAAGAAAGGCTTTCAAAGCTTCGACGGCAATCTGGTATACAAAAGCCGTCAACAAGGTCGAGGAGGTGAAGAAGAAGAAGAAAGATTTCACAGCAAGGAGAAAAACGAGGTAGAACAGGATAGAATAGAGAGTGATAAGTAGAGACAAGATCTCCAACCTTGCATGACGTGACGCTAAATCGCATGCATGTCGCCATGTCATACTCGAAGACCTCGGGCCCATCGTCGCTCCAGGCCAGAACCTGAACGACGTCACTGAAAGACATTCCGTTAGGATCATCCGCACTTTCATCAGCAAGGTTGGAGGAGGATGGTCGGCACAGGCAGGTACGCTCCTCTCCTGACCAAGGTGGCTCCGTGACGACAGAGTCTCGTGCAGAGGTCGTGGGGTTCCTGGAGGGGAAGAGGCGGGAGCAGGAGGAAGAGGAGAAGGAGGAGAAGGAGAAGGAGAAGGAGAAAGAAGAGAATGAGTAAGAGGAGGGGGACAAGAAGGTAAGTCTTGACACAGTTGATTCCTCAGACTCACCTTGGAAAGCTTCGAATGACATCTCGCACGATGTTCGCTCAGAATTCCCAAGAGTGACGTTGAGGTACCAATTCCTCACTGACGTTGATACCTTGTACAAGTTGTCGGAAGGAAAGAATCTGAGCAGCTTCGCCATCAACCAGTGCTGCTCTACCGCTCTCCCAGCTCTGATTGCCAGCATCCTCTTCGTCTCTTCCACCACATGCCGCCTGCGCCGAATGCCCGCGTTCCCTAGACGGACGAATCCATGCTCCTTGCCTGTCGAAACACGCTGAAGGATCTCCCCAGTCATGAGCTGGAGGAGGAACTTGGGACTCTGTGTGCTCCTTGCTGTGAGAGGAGGAGCTGGCTTCTCGTCGGGTTCCAGGAGGACGAGGTTCTCAGGAATGAGCCGCATAGGAGCGCACAGGACATGCCAAACGAGCATTGCCCCCGTAGCCTCGCAGAACAGCGGCTTCGAGGTTTTCAACCAGCAGCGAAGCATGCAGACAAGACTCGTGCAGTGCGGCTCCCATGGCACGATCTCCCAGCAGCCGAGGACTACACATACTTGATAGCTCCTCAGTTTCTCCTCCACCTCCTCCCCTTCCCGTCCAAACTCGTCGAGCCCTTCCAGCCCCCGAACGTCTAGGGTGACTTGTGAGGCTCTGGAGTGGAGGAGGCTGGAGATCGCATGCGTGAGAGTGACAAGGGAGGAGGAGGAGGGAGGGAGGCGATGGGAGCTCCCCGCGTCATCCAGTGTGTCTGTCATGACCACCAGCCATCGCACCATTCCGCCAGTAACGGCCGTCAAGCCTGTCAAACTCGGTTTCCACGGCCCGCCTCACTCCCGGTCGGCCTGGCGCACCTCCGTGAGTCCGACAGTGCCGGGCTCGGCCGGGGGCCATGATCGGCCCGGCCTCGGCCGGCCTCGGACGGAGTCGCGGTCCGGGTAGGGCCGAAGCCTCATCGCCACTCACCGGAATGTCACGATTTTTCGACTTCACTGTGAACGGCCTTGAACGCACATCCCACCCGGGCCTGAGTTCACTGCGGCACAGCCCGGTCCTGGCACTGCGGCAGTGAGTCGCTGGCAAGTTGCCATGGTGATAACGGCGTACTAGTGACTACGGTACTACGGTACTAGGCTGAGTACCGTGATCGGACTTCAGTGAGTAAAGATCGGAGCGGCCGTGAAGTGAGTTCACACGTTTTCGGGGAAGAGGCAACGCCATTTCACCAGCTAGCCGTGACATATAAAAATCCAATGGCAGGATCTCCAGGTTTCGTTGGCTCCTTGTCGTGGCCACAAAGTCGCCATGGCAGTGGAAGGATGCTTCCCCTTGCCCCTCGCTCCTTCCCTCTTGCTCCTTCCCCTCGTTCCTCGGCGCCATTCCATGCAGGAAAGGGGATCATGGCCATCCGATGCCTCGCTCCGTCAGGGATCGACGCGCTGCCTTTAAGCTTGCAGGTGCATCTTCATTGACAGAGCCTCACCTCTCACGCTCACACGTCTTCACTATTCCTCTGACATGCAAACATCCACGCAGGCAGCAACCTTCGTCTCTATCTTCGCTGGACTTGGCCTGGGGACTGCGTTGCTCAGCGGCCCAACCTTCTCAGCTGTCGAAAGAACGCTCCCTAAGGGGTGGTTCTCGTCATGGAAGAAAACTTGGCCTCTCCTTGGCCTTGTGTATGTTCTGGCAGGTGTAGCACACTTCACAGCTAAGGATGCCTTCCTCGCCATCTACCCTCCCTTGGGAACCTGGGGGTTGTGGTTTCTTCCTGGTTCGGCCGAGTTTCATGTTGCGTGGACGGGTGTGGCGGAGGTCTTGGGAGGAAGTGGCTTGCTGTTGGGAGGCACGATACAAGCTCTTGGTAGGGAAGACCTGCTGCCAAATTCCATGAAGGGAGTGAAGTATGCCAGTGCTCTCGCACTGTTCCTGCTCACCCTCGCTGTCACTCCTGCTAACATATACATGTACACTCACGGTATCCCAACATGCATTCAAATTGATCGAACTCTTCAGTGCTCATGCTGAATGCCACAGGTGCAACAATGCCGGGTTTGGGCCCGCCAGGAGAAATCCCAGTGAGTTTCCACGCTGTGCGCGGCCTGTTACAAGTAGTACTCTTGTCCTTGCTCTGGAGCATGTCCGCTGGTGAAGGAGCGGGGAAGTCCAGTTCAAGCTGAATGAGCATTTACTCGAACTGTTCGATCGCTGTTGACGAGTTGTAAATTCTCTTTGTCATGAAATCATGGAGCATCTCACCATCAAGGGTGTCCTCTCCTTCATCGAATTAAAACTCTCACTAGACACGGATCATAGTTACAGGGGTTCTTATATACATGATTTTGCCACTATGACAGGTAAAATGAGCAAGACTTATCACTCTGAAACTGTGATGTTCCTCAACAGCAATATTGCTCTCTCACTGGTTGCGCAAGACCATATTCGCTGCAAACGACAAGGAATCAAAACACCTCAGCAGAAAGTGAAAGTTCGAGACACAGACCTGCAGACAGACATATCCACGACGACACCGTCCGATCTCACACAGTACAGCACTCGAGTCTGCTTGCAAGTTGCGCTGCAGCTCGACCATGCCTGAGGCACAACACTACAAAAAGAAAGAAAACGTGTCACGATTGCCGACCAATTCACTGCAAAGAGCAAGTGCCTGTATGTGCATCCCAAGATAGTGAAACATGGCATTTCGGTCGTCAAAGGAACCATCCCCCGGGCTCTGAGTAAGCTTTCAGTCCTGATAAACCCGTCTCAGCACACTTACATGCATGTTGAACTGTCAACTGTCTCTCCGTCGTCTCTGACACAATCCACTACCCTGCGCTGCGTACCACTACCGCATGTTGTTGAGCAGTCTCCCCAAGATCCTGATACAAGTTTCAATTTTTGAGCGAGTGTTTGAACTCATAACAGTCGGATGACCTGCTACGAACGAATATCCGCAGAGAACTGTCCCGGTGCACTCCCTTCAAGCACGATGTCAGTCCCACAGTTTCATGTGCCCTCATGAAAGTCACATGATGCTTTCAGGCTTTGCTCCAGCATACATCGCACACATTGCCGCGTCGTCAACACCGTTGTCACTTGCCCTCTGACACGTGACAGATCTTGTGATGTTGGCTACACCACAGTCTGGACATGCCGACCAGGAGCCTACTACCCATTTGTAGGTCTCGCATATCGTTCCACGAAGCACTGAATTCTCTACCCAATATCCACCTGTTCCAAAGTTGCAGCAGTCTCTCCTGCACACATTCGTATCATTCACTTGGCATGGAGTTGGAAAACTGTACCTCCAGTTGCATGTACCTTCGGGTCCGACAAGACAACACCCAGGTATCTGATCATTGGTAGGCGCCTTCAGCACAGTCAGGCATGTAAGTCAGGATGAAGATGCTCAGGTACCGGCTGCATCTCTTCTGGGCTAGTTGCCAGGGAGTTCAATCTTATAATCTCACTCTTCTTCCACATGTCCCAAATCACCGCCACGTTGCTGTCTTGACCATCAGACACGCCTGAGTTGTTGTCCAGATCTTTCATCTCACCTGTCTGCTGACGTCTGGCAACATCCCGCATCTACATCTCCTGCCATGGCGGCTGCCAGCACCACCACAATCACCCTAGCCAGCATGACGCCTCGTTGACAAGCGCCTATCCGCCCCACCCCCCTACCCCTCAAATTTTCATTCAACCCCACTGATTTCCTTTTGGAAACCCCATCATGTGAGAATCAAAATGACCCCTACCCCCAGGTCTCTACCACCCATCAATTCATGGGTTTGTGTTGGACCCCCTCATCCCCCTACGCACGCCACTCACAGTGATGATCCACAGGACTCGGGATGATGATCCAGCTCAGTGATGATCAGACTGATGATCCTGCTGATGATCCTGCTGATGATCCTGCGATCGCGAAGCAGCGAAGCCGGGCTCAGTCAGGCTCACCAGCTAGCAGGCTAGCCGCAGTGACTCATTGAGTCAGTCAGAGACTATCAGGCAAACACAACACTGTGCAGGCGAGGCTGTGATTTAATGATTGGCCCAGTGGTGTACCGTAGCACTGGCGGCAGTGCGGCCCTAGTGTGGGACGGCCCAGGGTGTCACAATTCAGCCTCGTTTCACCCATTTTAACCGTCTGATTCATTGAAGGAAACGGATTTCTTCCCGAAAAAACCAAAGTATGGAAGACTTCAAAGCTCCTCCTTCTTGCCACCGGACGCAGAGCAGATAGGCTTGCAGAAAGTGCCAGCGACCGTCTTGGGGTCAGAATCAAGATTATTGACGATGAGATTTGCAAGGTCCCCATCGTCTTCACTCAACCTGCAAGGATGGAAATCACCCCCGAGCCTGCAGTTCCCGAAGGGATGAACCAAGCCCTGACCTCTCATCGATGGTGTCCCGACATGCCAGCCGGATCATGGCATACCGCATCACATTGTACTCGTGCTCGTCCCTGATGATTTCCATGAATCAACAACTACTAGGATTGAAGTCAGGAAGTTCACCGGGAGTTCTCCGACCCCCGCCCGTCTTCACTGTTAGGATGTTTGTCCTTCTTCCTCTTGTCCTGCCTGGAGAGCTTCCAGGGCCCTTCAGGATCATCCTGGCAGAGCAATCAGCTGCAACACATCTCATTACATGATCCTCAGATCACCTGAAAAATGTGGTAGCCTTGAGCCCACTCAGGAGGGTTTCCAGGTACAGCAGGGTAGTAACCTTGCCTGGGAGGTATAACATGTCAAAGGCTTCCAAGCAGCGAGAAGTGCTTGCGGTCTTCACCTCAGCCTTTCATAATCCTTCCCATGACAAATCTTTTGAACGATGTCAGTGACGAGAGATTCTCTCTGCAAGGGCAAGTTAAAACGGCCTTGTCCTGTACCTTAGCTCTGCTAATTCACCTGCCATCGGTCCTTGAACTGGGGAGTCGTCGACCTCATCTCTTTCACTTTTTCAATGGCTTTCCGCACCCCAACCTTGCATACAGTGCACTGAAGGTCTACCCTTCCCTTGTTGACTTTTTCCTTCGAGGCAAGTCAAGCTCGTGCTGGACAAGGCGTGTGTATCTAACCTGGAATGGAGGATCAAGGGTCTTCTCTGGATAGTGAGCTTCCAATTCCAGCATCTCGCTGATTGCACCAGATGTGTCTCGTTTGTTGAGAAAGTCTTGATAAAAAAATCAAAGCACAAACATTCCAGGAAGCATCAAACCTTGCATCATGTCCGAAGGGTTGGGAGGTGGTGCGGGAGCAGCAGTCTTGGGAGTGTATGGAACTTTCCCCTTTCTCTTCTACAGATGGAGCTTGGTCACTCCGTGTCTACATGGAGAAACACACAGACCTCTTCTGGTTTGATGGCCTGCGGGCAAAAATCGAGTGCAATCTCTTGCGGAGTGGAGGAATCAACCCTTTTGTACATCACCTGCCGACTTGCTCAGCGATCTGCAGGGACGGCTGCAACCAGGGTCTGACCTCGGATACTTCTTGCTGAAGTTCTTCACACCAATCCATGCAGACCTTGATGGAAGAGGTGTGAGCGAGGTGAGAGGTTGAGATAACGAGCAAACCTTCTTTGTGAGCAGGAGGCCTTCAACCACTTGCTGGGAGTTGCCACCCTCGGGCATGCCCCCGAACATGTCGTCCTCATCGTCGTCGTCTGTCTTGTTCTTCTTCATCAGTTTCCATACACCCGTGTCATCCTTGTCGAAGGTGTAGCGTTGCACAACTCCCAAGCAGATGGCCATTCCCGCCGTGTCATAGATGTTGTCTTCTCCTTCATCTTTCATCTTGTGCTTGACCAATTCGGTGTGCATTTCACTGATCTAAGTTGGCAGGAACAATCAGAATCCATCCGACCCACCCACTCAGTTGCTTCCTACCACTGCATTGCACATGTCCGACTCAGTGTCAGGATGAATTTTGTAGTTCTTCCCTTGCATGAGGATCTTTTTCTTGAAGACCTGACAAGACAGAACTCGTCAGATGGAGCATCGTCCATCATCACATTGGTTGAAAGCACTTAACATGACAAGGACTCTACATCAAACTCCCCCTCCCTCCCTCCCAGGCAGTCCCAACAAAGATGGCACCCCTACGGTCTTCGACCAGCAACCCACCATCTCCCTCACTTGCGAGCACATGATGCATGAGGCTGAGAGGCATGCGCATAGGATCACCTTCTTAGAGTCGGCCTCCTCCACCATCAACATCATGAGCAAGGCCATCGCAGCCGCAGCCGCCACCGCAGCCCCACCCGACCTCGTGCTCAGCATTCTTCGAGCTCTTCTACACTTCTCCCGGGGCAGCAACTTCTTACCTAGTAATGAATTTGCTGTCCTCTGTTCTTCCAGCTAGCGCGGCTGCTAGCGCGGTGACACTGTACTCTGGTCTGACAACATGTGCGGATCCTCCACAAACCCTCACACCACCCGCAAATATACTACCCTACCACACAAATTTCAACTCGTTACTACCCCCTACCCCCTTCAATGAATTGAATCATAGTCAAATGACCCATGTAGATCCTCCTTCTCGACCCACCCAAACTCTTTGGACCCCCATCAAAATTCATTCACCCCCACCCCTATACTACACCTCCCTTGCACGGTGGATCGACGCTGCTGCCATTTCATAACCCTACCCCCGTCCCCCTGATTTACAGAACCACCCCTTCTAAATAGTTTGTTTTAGACCCCTGCTTTTATACTATCCTACCCCCGGTTCATACATAGCCTGACACCCCACCCCCATTTCGTTCCACCCACCTCACTCCTTTGGACCCACTGCAACAAGGTGTTGACAGGTGGGGGTATATACCCCTACCATATACCATCAGCATTTGATTCAGTATCAAAGCACCGGTAGTCTGAACACCCCACCCATCTGAATGTTTATACCAGGCCCCGTTCGCTCCAAAATCACCTTTTACCATGGCGGTTCGTTCCTTTGCCGCCGTGCGCTTTGTTCGAGCCGATGCGGAGGAGGGCTCGTCGTCCTCGCCCTCCTCTGTCTACTACCCTCCTTCCGCCCCCTCTCCCTCTCGCTCTCCCTTCTCCTCCTCACGTCCGGAGGAGTCACCCACTTTTGTACGCTTCAATCCTGCGATGGTACGGAGGATTGGTCTTGCTGCCAGCGCTCACTTGACATTTTGCAGGACATGGACGAGGAGCAATGGGCTCCTCAAGCTTCCAACCAGGGAAGGTTTCCCTCTCCTTCACTCAAGCGCACAAGAAGCCCGGGTCATCAGCGTGATTCGCTCAAGAGCCGATACAGGTTCGATATGCCCAAGTTGTTTTCGTAGCTAAGGGTGTTCTCCATAGCCCAGGAAGACCAGGATCGCGGCGACATCAGAGATGGAGGAACGAGATGGATATGAGAGAGCCTCTTGACGAAGCTGAGCTTCGAGAGCTGTTTTCCATGAATTGGAAGTCCAAATTTGAAGGTGAGGGACTTTGCGACATCTTCGCTGGCATCTGAGATGTGCTCGAATCCAGAGCTCTTCGAGGGTGAAAACATGCAGCTCTGGAATGAGTTTTGCATGTGATCAGTTCTCGTGCTGGTGTGTGAGGGACTTGACTTTCGGGTAGGTCGAGTGAGGAGGAACAGCGAGCTATGCTGAAGACGATGAATCCTGAAGTGAAAGGTCCTACGAAGCTCAGCCCAACCGATGATCCGAAGTACTTCCATGCGCACAATATCGCAACACTTATGGATGCTTGCTTGTAGGATGCTGTTCAATCGTTTGGATAGAAGAGTGAAGACTCTCTTAAAGGTTTGGAAGTTTCATTCTGGTTGAAGCATCCTTGATATCATGTGCAGAAAGGAGTTGCGAGAGATTTTGTCATTGAGTTCGAGACGGCATTGTGCAAGCTTTTGCATCCCAGCAAGTACATGGACGTCAAGGACGACGAAAAGGAAGCAACACTTGAAGTTCATTCCTCAAGCACAGGAGCTTCTGTGGTGCTCCAGGACTCCATGAAGAGAATGCTGGCGCATGCAATCTGTCTATTTCACTCAGTGCAGGTCTGTCAGTTTGTTTGTGTTTGCTTCATAGGATTGATAAGTCGTACTAGAGCTTCACTCGGGACAGCAAGGAGACCAAGGGAGAGAAGCGTCTTATCATGTCTTGGAACAGAGAAGAGTATGCCTCGTCCGTTCACCCGCGAAAGCTCCTGCATGAGTACCTGGAGGAGATCGGATAGTCAGACATGACACGCGCAAGGATAACCTGACACTCTGTTTTGATCCTTTTCTTGATTTTTATTAATTAAGAACTCAAAAGAGGCCAACGAGTGTTATTCGAGGTTGTGGTGTTGGAGGAAACTGAGCTTCAGGAGCTTATCGGCGTTCAGTCGCTTCTCGGCCTTGACCTCGAAGCACTTGTCAAGAAAGTCCTTGACGGCATGTGACTGCGCCATCACACTCGGCTCTTCCGCGTACTTGAGGACAAACTTGCGAAGGTCAGTCTTGGCCCAATCAGCGAAGATGCGCTGTGGAACAGAGACGGGTTCGAAGATGTTGTTTCCTCGGAAGAGGAAGGGGCCTGACGCCTTGCCAGTTATCATCTCCGTCACGATGCAGCCGAGCGACCACACGTCGATCTTGCCCACCATGTCATCGTTGACGATGCGCAAGTCCCGCAGCTGAGGGTGGTTGGCGCTCCCACTCCCCATCTGCCTGTGCACGATCCACTCAGGGGCTGCGAACCCGATGGTGAACTTCTCGCTGTCCCTCCTCGCCTTCACGTCCTCAAAGGTACATGCCTCACCCATGTCCGCGATCTTTACCTTCGCTCCGTTGCCTGAGAGGAGGATGTTGGTGGGCTTCAGGTCCCTGTGGACTATCTTTCTTTCGTGCAGGTGCTTCAGCCCGCACACGATCTGCCTCGTGTAGTTTCTTGCTGTCTTCAGCACGATGCAAGGCTGTCCCTGCTTCATGTTCCCGCTCAGGCTCTTGATAAGATCGTCCAGCGTCCCCTCTGGGCAGTACTCCATGAAGATGAAGACCTTGTCCGGCATCTGCTGCACGCCGTAGAACTGGATGATGTTGGAATGGTAGCCAATCTTTTGCATGATCTCTGCCTCCTTCGACTTCATCCCCGTCGACTTCTGCTTCTTCACCGCAACGAACTCCATGCTCTGCCAGAACTGCACTCGATACACCTCAGCGTTGCCTCCCTCCCCAAGCTTCTTCCCCAGCGTCCAGGTCCATTGCAGGCTCTGACCCTGTCCGATGAGATCCTTCCTCTTCTCGTAGCACTCCCTCTCCCTGAGCTGGCCGAGCTTCAGCGACCTCAACTGCTCCTCCGCGAGCTTCTTCTCCAAGTCCTCGATGCTCCAGGAGGTGTCGGGTCGAACGCCGTTCCTCACCGGTCTTGTCCTCGGGCTCCCATCGCCTTCCGTTCGGGTCAGGCTCTGACTCTTTCGCTGCAAGCTTGCAAGGACGGACATCCCCCACAGCCTCGCTGCCTTCCACGAGGTCTGTGAGCTGCCGGTGTCTGCGAGACAGACAACTTCATAACAAGAGTGAAACGTCGACCAGCTCGAGATCTCCTCCTCCGAGGTCTCGTCTGCATCGGTGAAGAACAACTTGAAACTTTCTTCGACGTTGTTGAGAACGTTCTTCTCTACAACTTGTACCCAAAAATCCCATTCCTCCTCCTGTAGATCAGGGAGAGCAAGTCTCAACGCTTTCACGAAGTACTGAAACCGAGTCTGCCTGAGGCTGGTAGAGGACTTCACCTCCAAGTGAAAATTCTTCATGTCTCCTCGCTCAAACAGCGAGTTCTCTCGTGGACGGGACTTGATGGGCGAGCGAGTGGGAGAGGCTCGGAGATCCCTCGGCAACACTTGAACCGCAGTAACGTCTGTGAGAGCCAAGTGATCGGCAAGTTGGTCGAGACAAGAGAAGGTCAGGTCATGGAGCTTCGAGACTTGCTGCTGGATACGATCCTTTATCTCCTGCCAGAAAGTGAAGCAGGAAGATTCGCAGTGAAGGTATTTCTGCAGGAAAGAGATCCACGACTTGAACTGCAATGACACTTGGAGGATATACTTGCAGCATGCATGCAGCTCGACGTCCTTTGCATGTCTTCGCATCTCTCCTGATGACTGAAAGACATGTTGAAAGCTTTCTAGCTGGTCGCAAGCACACCTTCCAATCCTTGCTGTCATCTTCAAGAAGAGGACAGATGCGGCAAAGTCGGAGCTGTCAACCTTGCTGATCATCAACGCAAAGTTGAGCAGGGAGAAGACGTCGTTGATCTCGTCCTCTCGCGCAGCGATCTTGCAGACGGGAGTACAAGGCCCTTGGAGGAAGAGCACAGTAGCGCGCGCGAGCTGCGGGATCTCCTGCTCCCAGAACTCCTTCAAGGACCTCTCAAGCTGCTTCGACGACACTTGCGAGGAAGAAGAGAGATGGCGCTTGATCAGGACATCGTTGTTGACCCGCAGAATAGCTCCGATCATCTCCACGCTGGATCTCGCCAAGAAGCCCTCGGGCTCGAAGTGGTCGAAGGTGAGAGGGTTGCAGGGGAGGAAGTTGGAGATGCTGGAGTAGAACTTGGCGGAGGAGCGGAGGAGCTGGAGGTACTCGGAGATCTTGTAGGAAGCGCTTTGCTCGTCAGGGTTGCCTGAGTTGCTGACGAGGTTGGGGCGGGAAGAGATGATCCTCTGCAGGATCTCAAAGGGCTTCCAGCAGATGGCATGCATCAGGCTACAGGAGCAGCCCGTCTGTCCAGATCCTCTCAACTCCCTCCCACCGCCTGCTAGACACTCTCCCGATCCATGAACAGAGCAAGGCTGTGGCGACGTTCCCAGGTTTGGGAGCCTGAGTTTTTCGAGACACTCGCAGAACCTGCCCGATCCGCATGCCATGATGCCCGATATGATGGACGACCGGCTGAGCCATTCTCTTCCTGAAAAGTCGAGCCTGCTCCTGTCGTTCAAGAACTCGTTCTTGAGAGATTGAAACGATCGAGAGCTCTGCAGTGTCCTCTCCAGCCCTTCCCGCGCTCCCAGAGAGGAGATCAAGTTCTCGACCTTCCTCTTGCTGCTCAGAAGTTCGTTCACGACCGGCAGCTCCTCCGGCTTGTAGTAGAGAGAGGAGATGGAGTAGAGGCTCGGGATCACGCCGTTCATTAAGACATCCAGGACTTCTCCCAGCGAGACATAGTGCAGCAGCCCGTCGAGATCGTATCTGCTCCACTTGTCATTCTCCGCCAGCTCCGAGTACCGCTGCAGCACAGTCGAGCCCTGCCGCGCGGCATGCAGCCATGCTCTCAGGGTCTCCACGTGTGTGACAAAGGTGCTGCGGTCTTCCACCGAGCCCAAGCTGAACTCGGGCACGTGGTAGGCGACTGAGTTGGGAAGGTCGAGGATGGTTCGGAGCTTTGAGATCTTGTCGGAGTGTCTACGGTGGCCCGTCACGTAGGTGCAAGGATAGGAGTCTTCCACCGCATCGTCCAGCTTCTGCAGCAGCGCAGAGACAGTGTCGATCGCTTCGCTCAGGGAGGAGGTCTCGCAATGAAACTGTTTGATCTCGCAGATTATCCGATCCAACGCCTCCCTTGCAGCCTCGATCCTGGCTCGTTCACTCTGCTCTGCCGCGGAAGCTTTCATCCTCTTCGACTTTGGCTGCTTCCGCTGTCGCACCTCAGCCCTCAGTTGAATCCAGAAGTCCTCCGTAGCAAACAACACGTTCCGCTGGCAGACCGCCTGACTGTTGTTCAGCTTCTTGAGGAAGAGCTTGTCTTTCAGGCTGTCAAGCAGATCGAGTCGTCGATTCCTGTTCGCTTGCGAGATTATCTGCAGCCAACAAGATTCAGAGAGATGTCGCAAAACATCTAAGTGAAGAACAGTACCGGCCGATGGGGAGAATCGTTGAGCAAGGTTGACGGCTGCTCATGCAACCTACCGTCTTCGTTGTGAACGACGTTTCTGAACCTGTGGTACCTCCGCTTCTTGTCCTTTGACTTGCTCTTCGGACGCTCTTTGCTCGTAGGGGCCGACTGCTTCAAAGGTTTGGATCGACCTGGCGTTACAGCTATCCCTGGCCCCGGGAACGAATTCCTCTTCTTCCTGCTCACCGTGGCTGACACGGTGGAGACAGTAAAAGTCTGTCGAGTTGGTGCGAGACGCTCCTCTGCCTGCTCGGCATTGTACTGCAGGACATGCTCGTACGTAGAGTCGGGGCCCGCAGCCTTGCCCCCGTTTGCCATGTCCTGGCTAGACACCGGCGAGTTCTGCACCTCCCATTTCTTCACGGTCTCCCTGGTGCTCTGCAGATCATCCTTGGCTCCGTTGATGTGCTGCTCGATCATCTCGATGACCAGACCTGCACCACCATCAGCGCGCTTGTGCACTGCTTGCCTTCCTTACATGGATCTTCCAGCTCCGACAGCCGCGGCTCACCCCTGACATACGCCTCTTGCTCTGAATCATCTTCCATGGAGCTCGCATACAGATGCTCCTCAGTGTGATGTCCCGTGCTCCTCTGCCGCTTCCTTCGTCTCAACCAGCGCCATCTATCAGGTAGTTAGTAGATCAAAGAGTCTTCCTGCCTGACTGCCAGGCTGCCTTTTCCTGTTTGCCTTCCCTTTCCTTTCCTGTTTTCCTTCCCTTCCCTTCCCTTTCCTGTTTTCCTTCCCTTCCCTTCCCTTCCCTTTCCTTTCCTGTTTTCCTTTCCTTCCCTTCCCTTCCCTTTCCTTTCCTGTTTTCCTTTCCTTTCCTTTCCTTTCCTTTTTCCTGACCCTCTCGCTATTCTTTCTTTTCCTAAGAGATAAGAATGCTTTCTTGAATTCCTTGCGTCCTGAGGTCCACTCCTGCTATGTTCTCTACCTTTCTTCTCTGCTTTGACCCTGCTCTGCTCCCTTCATTCCCTCCACCATCCCCCCCCCCCTCCCCATCTCCCCATCTCTCCCTTCCTCCCTCCATACCTCCATTGATCCGACTGTTCTTGCATGCTGCATCGCTTTTCTCACCGTCTACTCCCTCCTCCTCCACCTCCTCCCTTCGTTCCCTCCTGCCCAAGTCCAGACCACCCCACCCCTACCCCTTTCAAGGCCTCTGTTTTTAATCCCCAGTACCCTGAAATTTGAGCGACAGAAATTGAAACACTTCAATGGCGGGTAAGTGGAGGTGGGGAAGGAATACAGAGAGGAGGGAGGGAGGGAGGGAGGGAGGGAGGGGGGGGGGGGGGGGGGGGGGGAGGGAGGGAGGA